GAACTCTTAAAAACTACAAATGAACCTACCATTTGACCCAGTTATACCACTCTTTGGCATATACCCAAAGGACTCATTCTATTGCAGAGACACTTGTACATCCATGTTTGTTGCTGCTCTTTTCACAATAGCTAAGAGATGGAAGCAACATAAATGTCCCTCAATTGATGAGTGGATAATGAAAATGTGGTTCATTTATACTATGGTCTTTTATTCAGCAGTCAAAAAAGATGAAATCATGAAATTTGCAGGTAAATGGATGGAACTAGAAACTGTTACACTAAGTGAAGTAACACAGTCTCGGAAAAAAAATTGACATATGTTCTTCTCATATGTGAATCCTAGAACCAGACTCTGATAAATAAGTATGAAATAGACGTAACTCCAGGAACCAGGATAATGGAAAGGAAACAGGGAGGTAAAGGAAAATAAATAACCTGAAAGAGAAGAACAGTAGGAAACAGGCCTTAATAAAGAAGATATGGATAAAAATTGGTTAGTTTAAGGGAGGGGGGAAGGGAAGGGTATACAAGGAACCTAGGGGATAAAGGGAAAGAAGGAGGTCAAGAGAGGTAGGACCATAGGAGAAGAGTATTAGTAAGGGAGAAATGGGGGTACCTTAAGTGGGAAAACCATGATGGAGGGAATGAGACAATGCGAGAGATAAATAATGCCTAGCTAATTTTGATAACCAGAGAGAACCATATTACTCCTACAACCTACTGACAAATTATACATAGCAGATCAAGAAATATATGTCTAGGTAAGGTTTATCTGAGAACAACTGGTCTTTGCCCAAGATTTATCTACATGACACACAGCAATCAAAAATACCAGACTGGTAGAACTAACCTTCTTGTGTGTTTAACAGACATACTTTGAGGTCTATAACAATTTGGTCAGAGGGACATAAAGGACACTTTTTGCTCCTTGCCCTCCTAGGTCGACTAGTTCCAGGGGACTATGAGCATCTTTCAAAAGGTCCTATAATGGTGGTGGGTCACCTGTCCTCTTGATCAAGGAGGCCGAGGTGACCCCACCAGATGGACTTGAACCAGTGTCCAGTCTATGAAAAGGAAAGTCAACCCAGAGGAATCATTTCTTCCATGCTTCCACGCAAACCCAGCCATGGTCAAGCAGGACCTTTGACTTATCTTCACATAGATGGAACTGGTAAAAGAAAGGAGCCAGGGGCTTCTCCTAAGCCCATGTGACCCCGAGGAACAGGTCCTCAAATGACCTTAAAAGTAAAAATAAATCGGTTTTATCTGGACCAACTGTATGGCCTTAAACACCGAAAAGGAAAGTGTAACCAAAGATTAAATGGGCCAACATAATTTCATAAGGGTCCATATGTATAGCTAAAGGCTATATAACAAGCAACAATGCCAGAGAAGTGATACCTTCTTTTGAGTTGATGGCCAGTGTGGCCAAAGGGATTCCCAGATAGTAACCCAGCATAGAACTGGGAAAATGAACAAGAATATCATTTTTAAATGTTGGAGAAATGAGCTTTTGAGGTGCTTTCAATTTATGTATGTCAATTTGTGTTCCACTTATATATGTCAAATAAGTTCTATGCTTTAAATGTAGATGTCAAAGCATCTAGAATATCAAAAAGGAGCTTGGAGAAAATGCACAGTGCCATTAATATGTCAAAATAACAATATCATGAACACCCTGAGCAGCCAGTGCTGAGGTACAAACACAGTTGGTATGTGTGTGTAACAGCCCAGATCCTTCCCCATGCAATTACATGCTAGCTGTGAGGGGCCATCACCACCTCCACTCGGTAAAACAGTGTGAAGTGGTAATCTAATGATATTAAATATATGTGATGTTATGAGGCCTCCCTCCAGCAGTCACTTTAATTGTTAATGTCACTTAAAAATGGCAAGAATGGGGCCAGGCGTGGTGGTGCATGCCTTTAATCCCAGCACTCAGGAGGCAGAGGCCAGCCGATCTCTGTGAGTTCAAGGCCAGCCTGGTCTACACAGTGAGTTCCAGGACAGCTGGGGCTACAGGGAGACCATGTCTCAAAAAGACCAAAAAAAAAAAGGCAAGAATATGGCTGAGAGAGGGATAAAGGATCAGAAGGTCTGGAGTCCTTGGTTTTTATGGACTTATGAACCTAATTGTTCTCCTTGATCTATACAAGATGTATTCTGAGACTAATTTCCATGTGTGGGGGTGTGCATGTTAGGGATGAGCTTTAACCTAGGGTGTATTACATCATTGTTTAGGAGATGTGATGGGCTTACTAATCTTGTTTACTGTTTTAATATATTGGCATTGAAGACCATCTGTAACTGAAGTATTTATTCAGAAGAAAATTTACAAAAATAGTTTATTTAAGGCACAATTAAAGTTGCATGGAGTTTTATCTAAATCATTCAGCAAGTGAGAGACTTCAAAGTGGTGTAGAACTGAATTTAATTTCAGTGTGAAGGTTTATTTGTAGAAGAAATTTTAATGGGTCCTCGTGGAATATAAAATGGTTCATAAATTTCTCTACCCAGAGGTGCTTTGAATAAGTGTTTTTAGAAGAACACCAAGTGTTAAGAAATAACTGGTTGTTGAGCTAAAATTCTCAAAAATGAAAATGATTTTCCTCTTTGAACTTGCAAAACAAATTTATTATTGTACATATAAAGGGAAAGACAAAGACTTTATAACCATGTCTTCAAACTGTTCATAGTTTTCAGAACATTTGTAGCCCTCTAGAATGGCATTTCTTCTCCTAATCCACATCCCCTGTTTTTTGGGATGATCTATCCAAGAATGAAAAACTACCTCCAAAGGCTACTTTATCAAATATGAAATACCTTAAAGTCATACCAAGTTTTTCTAGCATTGTAACTTGAAAAAGTATTTTGTCACCTATGAGGCAAAGCATCTCTCTCTTTTTTTTTCCTTACTGTGTAGCCCAGGCTAACCTCAAAGTTGTGAGCCTCCTATCTCAACCTCCAAAGTACTGGAATTACAGGTGTATGCCACCACATCTAGCCAAAGGCCATTTGTTCATGCATGCACATGTCCAAGTAGGCAACTGGCAAGTGTTTTCTGGCCTGTCCTGGAATGCTCTACAAAAGGCTCCTCACACTGCTCCTAGGCTAAGTCACCTCATAGAGATGCTGCACAGATAAGATCCCCAGGCAGCTTAAGAAACCTCAGCAGAAGTCTCACATTTCACTTGAGAGTCTTTTGATTACTGGGTGTAAAGTTTTTCAAGCATGCCTTGTGGAACACAGAAACTGTTACATCCTAGTTCTCCTTTTCCATGTGATACTAGCTGACAGGGCCATCACCACCTCCATTCTGTAAAACAGCATGAAGAGATGATGTAACTATGGGGAATGAAAACAAGGTCTGGCTTGGAACACCCATGAAGTAAATTGCCAGCGTGGCCTTCCTGGGATCTTCCATGCAACCTGCTAGATGAGGCATCTCTCTGCACTTTTTAAATTGAATTTGTGTTTATTTAGCCTTTTCCAAAACTATTTTGAAGTAGCCTTCAGAAAAACTTAAAAGCAGGAAAAACTGGTAGCTTATTTCCAGACTGTCTTTCCTGAATATAATTCCTCTTAGGAGCTATTACTAGAGGCTGGAGAGCCAGCAGACCCAGGCCTGACAAGATGAGGAGTGCTGATGAGCAGGCCTAGCCTATCATGTGGGGCAAATGGAAGGCCCTCAGTACTGCTTAAAGGCTGGCACAGAGAAGCCATCTGGCAAGCGCTTCCCTGGGAATGGTTTTGGATTGGCCCCATGAAATACTGCTGCTGAGGTCCTGCCTGATTCAGGCTCCCAGTGCGTCCACCCCATTAGAAGTGGTAGCTCCACTTGAATTCCACCTCATCTTTGTAAATACCTTTGTGTCTCTGACTAGATGACAAAATTAAGTAACATTCTTATACGATACATATATTTCTTTAAATTGATTACCCTTGCAATTTTAACACTTTAAAATAATGAGTAGGGGGCTGAAGAAATGATTCAGTGGCAGTGAATACTTGCTGCTCTTGCAGAGGACCCAGTTTTGATTCCCAGCACCCACATAGCTGCTCCCAATCACCTGTAACTCCAGTTCCAGAAAATCTGACACCCTCTTCCAGCCTCTGAATACCAGGCACACATGTAGTACACATATATACATGCAGGCACTCACACATACACGTAAAAATAATCTAAAAATAAATAACTAAAATAACAAATAGAGAGACAATGAGATTGGCTCAGCATGTAAAGGAACTTGGCACCAACCCTGGCAACCAGTATTTGATCCCTGGAACCCACACGGTAGAAGGAAAGAGCCTTGTCCTCTGATAACTACATGCTCATCATGACACATGTGCACCTCCCCACATATACAACACATACATATATACATAAATAATAAATAATAGATGTAATAAATAACAAACAAATAAATCAATAGTGCCCTGTGTGGTGGCACACACCTTTAGTCCCAGGACCTGGGAGGCGGAGGCAGAGGCAGGCAGATCTCTGAGTTCCCGGCCAGTCTGGTCTATTTATCAAGCTCCAGGCCAGGCAGTGCTACAGTGAGACCCTGTCTCAACAACAACAACAAAGAGATAGATCATTGATATGTGTATGTATAGTGTCTACATGCCACCTATATGTATTGAGTCTAATAAGCATATACAATATAAGATGTGTTCCATTTGATATGAATGTGAATGGAGTGCCTATGGGCTTCCATCACCCGATACCCTTTTACCTTGAGATTTTAAATCTTGGTATTGTGTCTTCCTCTCTACTGAGATTCTTTCTGTATTTTATTTCCCTTTGTTGCCAGCATGTGTTAATTCCTGCAATGGGGAGGACATGTGTTTGGGGTTTCTTGCTAGTTGGATGCACTGGATATACATTCAGCTATAATATGGAGGTGTCACTCTGGGATACTGAGAAGGTGTTTGGTCTGTTACAGCAACTGCGAGAATTGATAGCAGAACACAAGCCTCACATAGATAAGATGAACAAGACCGGGCCACAATTACTGGGACTGAGCCCAAGAGAAGGCTTTTCTATCCAAGAGAAGTATGTGGCAGCTGACACCCTTTATAGTCAGATCAAAGAAGACGTCAAAAAGCGAGCTGTACTACTGGATGAAGCCATTTCTCAGTCAACTCAGGTAATCCTTTACACTAGAAAAAAGGGAAGTTCTTCCAAACAGCCACGTTTAACGAATATTTTCCTGGATCTCTTAATTCAGTTTCATCTCAGCTGATTTTCACTGTTAACTGAATATGGGTGCCTTTTCTCTTAGAGGTGACATTCGTTGGCATCCAGCTCTTCTATTTCTCTGCCTCCTTTCAGGTACAATAAAAGATCATTTTCCATGACTAAGAAAATCTACTTGCAGTCATTGGCCAGATGTTTAATTCAGTGTCAACCCTAAGTGGAATATAATATTTGCCACTGGGAGAGATAAAAGAAACTGCTACTATCATTATTAATAAAATAGTCTTAAGAAGGTAGTTAGAAGAAATACTGAGTGGTAGACCAAGGAAAAGGAAAAGAATATGAAGGTGGAAACGGGTTGTTTTTGTAAATACCATTTTTCAAGAAACTGACTTTTGGAATTACCTATAAGTTTTCCAATTCCAAGGTTTGGGTTTTGATATTAGATCCTGGACATTGGAGCAGCATTTCTGTAATCCTGAGTGTTTGTTCTAGTTCCTCTTCTGATGCTATAATAAAATACTCTGACAAAAAGCAACTTAGTGGAGGGAGTGCCTGCCCAGGGAATAGTGCCACCCACAATGGCTGGGCCCTCTGTCCTCAGTTAACAATCCAGACAATCCCCCATAGACATGCCCATAGGCCAATGTGATCTTAGAAATCCCTCAATTGAGATTCCCTTCTCAAATGACCCCAGCTGTGTCAGTTAAAGTTGCCATTTAACAGGAACTAGGAAAGTGTTGGTGCCTTTAATTTGGGGAATAGTGTGAAACTTAAGAATGAACAAGTTTTTGTGACATGGCTTAATTGTATGTTATACCTTTATAAATACAAATTTGAAATTATCCACTGAATCCAGCTACATGTTTGACCAGGAATTAAATGCAAACTTCTGATACAACACTGGGTATATTTTTATTTTAATTAAACACTTTTCCAATTCAGGAAATATATAACTTAAAGAATTCCTTAAATTTAATCAAAACTGCCTGTGAGTTTTGCATGTACTAGTATAACTTTGTAGGATCTTAAAAGTCATTAAAATGAAAAAATAATCAGTTTCAACAAGTCTTACTGAACTTAATTTTAAATTAATTAAATTATAATAACAAGATCAAGCAACAGATTAAGATTCACATTGCTGCAAAGCAGCATACACAGTTTCTTAATGAATGCATTCAGTTATTTATATAGAAACTCAGCGTGCTCTACGGAAACATGTCCCGCAGAGGTGTGTAGAGGTCATGGTTTTAGGCATGGCTTCATACACTAGGAGGGTGTAACTTTTTGGATGGAAATGTTGGCAGAGATTTAGTTGTTAATTGAATTCATTAAATAAAGGTTTTACCCTTGAAATTATACATGTGACATCACAGATCTTCCCAGCATAAATGGTCCCACTGTTTTACTTCTAGTTCCATGACAAAATTGACCAGATCCTTGAGAGCCTGGAGCGTATTGTGGAGCGTATGAGGCAGCCACCATCCATCTCTGCTGAGGTTGAAAAGATCAAGGAGCAGATCAGTGAAAATAAGAACGTGTCAGTAGACATGGAGAAGCTACAGCCACTGTATGAAACACTGAAGCAAAGGGGAGAGGAGATGATTGCCAGGTCTGAGGGCACTGATAAAGATTTGTCCGCCAAAGGTAGTTACCCTGGAATAATGGAATGGATTCAACTTTACTTTTCAAACACCTCTAGATTCATATGCTGTTGACTGACAGCCCAACTGCATAACAAAATGCCATGCCACATCTTTAAAAGGTTTTACAGTGATGTGTTTAGGTTTGAAGGACTATATACATAAATCCTTTGTTAGTGTCTTCTGGGTTTGTGAAATTAATTGATTGAAAACAAGGTGTGCCATTATATAAAGACCCGGTATCTTCCGGGCCTTTTAGACCATTAGGCTAAAATGTAATGTTAATAACGCCAAAGCTAGGGCTATGTTTTTAGAATTTTATCTAGCATGTGTGCTCCATCCCATAACCACCAGAATGGTGACCATAACCACCCATCTTTGAGCTGTGAGCTGTGAGTCAAAAGGAAGAGTGTGTGTGTAGTAGAAATAAGAGTACTATAGAAGCAAGTCAAAAATACACACCCTACGCTGTTATATTTCTGGCACTGAACAAGCATTATTCTTAACTTGGAGGGCATAAGAAAATTTATGTCTCAGATTGGCCACTTCATTTTCTTTGGGATTAGTGCCAACTTTCATGAACTTTAAAACTTGGTAAATTTGCATCTACTCTGAGCTCAGTTAGCTTTAAGCATCTACTTTTATTAGGAAAAACCTGGTTCAGCAGAAGTAGACCCATAGATTTTGCATTGTTTGGGATAGGTTTGGGCCCATTAGACACCCATTAGACTGCAGTTAACCAAAACTGGTCCAGTTCTGTGTACTTAACAGTTGAGTAGCTGCTTGCTGTATGAACTAAAGTTTTCCTTTGTTGCTTAACCATGGGTAACCAGCATTCTGTTTGACACTGTTTTGCTATGTAGCTGTGCAGGATAAGCTGGACCAAATGGTTTTCGTTTGGGAGAACATACACTCACTGGTAGAAGAAAGGGAAGCCAAATTACTGGATGTGATGGAACTAGCAGAAAAATTCTGGTGTGATCACATGTCCTTGGTAGTTACTACTAAAGACACTCAAGATTTCATCCGGGACTTGGAAGATCCTGGAATTGATCCCTCAGTAGTAAAACAACAGCAAGAAGCAGCAGAGGTAAGTAGAAAAAGTCATTTAAAATTTTCAAAGTTCAGCATAATAAAAGCCTGATTCTGTGGGTAACTGAAGAATTGCTGTTGAAATTTGTACTTGGTTCTGAACATGGTGGGTACTGAGAGATGTAATGTACTAACAGATTCACCTGGTTGTATTTAAAATCATTTTCTCTTCACTGCCCCTGCCTTATTTCAGGACCCCTTTATCTCTCTTGTTGACTTCCTAAGTAACCTAAAGCAAAAAATGGGTTTTCCTGCTAGGTCTTTATCCTTGCTTCTTAGTCATCTCTAGATCTGCTGTCATTGTGTTGCTACTTACAAACCCTCAGAGGTACCCACTGCCTACTCAGTAGTGCCCAGACTTTGTAGAACAGGCATGTGGTTCCTCCTGTACCCGCCTAACCCAGACCCATGTGACCCTAGGCACCATTCTCCTGTTCCTTTACCGGCATGCCTCTGTTCTGGTCTGCTCTTTTTAGCATTTGTTGTGCCCTTACAGTCTGTTTCCTCACCTTAGGGTGTCATTTCTGCCACACTCTGATAAGCTTCAGGGTTCAGGTTTATTATTCCCTATGTAAATACTTTCTTGTATACTTAGCTGAATTATCTCCTAGACTCTGACCCCCTAGAGGAGAGTGACTAGGCAGATATTTCTATTTCCATTGTCTGGCTTAGGGCTTAATTCATACTTATTAAGCAGTTATTGGCTAAGGAAGTATGTTTAACCACAACAATGTAAAGGAAGGTAAGATACTTCATTTCTTTTGTGATAAATGTGTAGTTTATAGATCCCACCTTGATTGATAACTTGTAACCCCAAAGCTAAATTATCCTAACTTTCCCAACAAATACATTAGTTCATAGAAAATCTTCAAACTCATATTTTATTGTCATTTTTGAGTACATATTGGCAAACTATTGATGTGGAAAAAAATGTCTTTCAGTGCTCTACAACATTTTTGGTATTTTTAAAAAATTGCTCTGATAGAGTGTAGTGGCCCGTGCCTTGAATTCTAGCTCCCTGGGAGGCAGAGACAGGCAAATCTTTGAGATCAAGAGCAGCCTGCTCTACACGAGTTCCAAGTCAGCTAGGGCTACAGGGAGACCCTGTCTCAAAAAAAAATTGCTCTGGTATTTGTCACACTGTTTCTTTCTGTCTTTAAAATAAAGATTTTGCATTCATTGCTTAAAGGTGACTGTTTTTCTCTAAATTATTACGTTTTCTTGTTGGAAATTTTATTGTGGAAACAAGTAGAAGAAAACAAAATGGTAGTAATCCCACCTCCTAGGATCCCCGTGCTCAACACCTATGCATACATCTTTTCTTAGTTTGGTGTGCCTTGGCTGGCATTCTGAGGCTGTGTTTTGGATTCTAGGCTGTGAAGGAGGAAATTGATGGGCTGCAGGAGGAGCTGGACATGGTGGTTAACCTGGGTTCTGAGCTCATCGCTGCTTGTGGGGAACCTGATAAACCCATTGTCAAGAAGAGCATAGATGAGGTACCAGTGACACATTTTCACTTTCATGTCTTTCTTAAAACTTGGTTAACTAAGATATATTTATTTAAAGTGGTTAAAATGATACATTTGGCACTTAAAGGATTGTAACTTTTGTATTATAGTTAAATTCAGCATGGGATTCTCTAAATAAAGCCTGGAAAGACCGGATTGACAAACTTGAGGAGGCCATGCAAGCTGCCGTTCAGTACCAGGATGGACTGCAGGTGAGCTGGTTGCAGTGTGCCTGCTGGTCTTAGCTGGAAGGAGAAATCTTGTTAATGAATGTCAGTACATTTACACATTGGTACCAGCCCAGCCCTGGGCGTGTGCATGCAGCTGTAGACAAATCTATTCCTGTAACTGCCCCAGCTACTTTGATTGTACCCTTTTAGAAGGTATCTCCTACCTCTCAGACATACAGATTTATATGCACATCTAAACATGTTTGTACACACACCAGTGGAATCTACTTTGAAAAGAAGTATTTTAATGTTCTTTAAAGTGAAAGTAAGTGTTCCCACACAGCATTTTTCATAAACTGTTGAGCACTAGGCAGTGATGTGAAATGGTACAGAGTCTGAGTTCTCTAAAGTTGAGTGAAAGAAGACGAGAGGAGTAAACACCATCTAAAAATATCACGAGTTTAGCTGAAGTCAGAAGAAAGCTGATCTGAAGCCAGTGCTTTCTGTGTACCAAAATAGATTTCTGTTTTGTTGGTTCATAATTGAATGTATAAAGGTGTTTTCTTCTTTTCTGTATATATAATTTGTTAGAAGTGTTGCTTTTCACCTCCCTTAGATTTTCTCATTCAGTTCATAAGCCTTTTATAAGTCACTGGGCTCTAGTAGCAAGCAGCCACTTAGGCAGACTCAGAAGTCTTTCTTCCTTGCCTTTGTTCTGTTTCCTAACAGGCTGGCAGGAGTTTCATCTTTCATCCTCTTGCCACATGGAAAAAAACCTAAGTATTTCCATAACACTTAAGTGAATATTATTTTTGAAGCTCAGATGAGAACATTTTTCCTTTTTCATTATGTGCTACTTCATTCTATGTTTATAAAAATAAATATCACCAGCCAGTCTATATGTCAGCTGAAAAGGGATTTGAACTTTGGAAATACATGAAAAATTCACTACAAATAGCACCTTATTACAACTCCCCTGCTCTCTGTATTTTTTTTTAAGCAAACTGATGATTTATTGGTTAAATAATGATGGCCGGTGGTGACTAAGTTGGGCTCCAGGTCTCTGTGTGAGATTGAATCATGATGGCAAGTTATTGAGTGCCAATTGGCATTGCTGCCACACGAAGCCACTTGGGAGCCATAGGAAAGACACTGTGATTTGCAGGCTCCTTATCAAACTACAAGAAGCATAAGGCCTATCATAGGTCATTTTGCTCATGAACGGCAACTCTGATTACTAAATTGCTGGTGCTAATGTGACTTTAGGTACTGCAGAGTGCCCAAGGCTTGATTGTGAAATGAAGTATATTTTGTTACCAGGTTGCTACTTAAGTAATTAGAGTTGATTAATGGTAATTTAAATATATCACATATTTTACAAGGTTTCCCTCCCTCTGCCAGATTCATTAAGGAATATAGTAATTCTTTTATACAGTTGTTACCTAAATGGGTTGA